AATTAATAATAACTTTGTTAATTATGTGTATGCTTCAAGAACCATATATTTATGATAGTTACTTCTACATCTGCAAAATAAAATTAAACTAAAAGTGTGTATAGGCTCATCTTTTCTCCACTTCTAATATCAAAAGTATATGTTTCCCATTAAGAGTTTAGGTTTGCCTGTTAGCTGTACTGGTGACAACTCTCTTGTGATGGGTCTCACTAAGAACTCAAATACTTGCATTATTCAGCCTGAAAACAACAATATCCTCTATAAATGTGAGATGAAATATACATTTCGATTTGAATTAAGCGTGCTACCAGCATTACAAAAAAGGAATGACTGCAGAAGGCAGTGAATACAATGGCTCTTCATGACAATTGGAATATCTTAATAGCTTGAGAAGCGTTAGAGGCTTTGCCATTCATTCTGTGCCAGGCTATCAATGGCTTTTAATAGTTTGAAGAAAATAAGACATATATAAGCAATTTAAAGCTACCTGTGAATTTGAGTCCACATGGACACCATATTTTTTGTATCTTAACATTAAAGTTGGGGTAGAGAGCAAACAATATCCTCCAGGTATAGATGCAAGGTCGTAAAATGAGGAGTGTCATCCAGGCTACATTTCGTCCACAGGCTATCATTATTATATCTTCAAAAGTTTAGTGGTACAAGAAGCACCTGCTTGAAAACTTGTGGCCTAGTAATTTACATGAAGGGATAAATAATACTGCAACTAAAGTGATGAATGGAAACTAATTATCCACCACTCTGCTCTGGTAAATTTTCCAAGATCCTGGAATTACAGATAGAAATGGGAGACCATTTGTCTTTCAAGCTGAACCCAGTTCACAACCTGACTTATAATCCAGTAGCAGGAACTATCTCAAAAATTCAGAACCTCTTGTTTCTAATGGAAAACCAGGTAGACAATAACACAAAAAGCAAGAGCTCCCTGTGCCCCATGTCAAACTTTAGATACAAATGAAGTATTCTCTTTAGGATTCAATAGGGCATAAGCGACACACACAAAACAAATTATGCTTTACCTACTTTAAGGAATAACCTTTACCCTCACCATTACATATGCAATCACTGTAATTTTGAAGTATTGTATCAACTCAACCTTTGGTAATAAGTAAAATAACTTATCATTCTATTTCCCCAGCATTTCATCAAACATGCACAATAACTAGAAATAATAAGCCAAATCACAAAACTCTTTCCAACACACTTGAACGAAAGATAGAAAGAAAGAAAATGACAACTGAAAGCAAAGATCCTGTCCTTGCATAAGAAATCTCACACGTACTCTCTGTGTCGTGGCGATCTGGAGAATCTTCTGGGAGCTTCTTTAAATATTCACGAAGCAGCATTTCATAACGAGGGATGCGTTGTACAGGTGATAACATGTGATGCTGCAGGGTAAGGTTGCCACACACTTCCATTGACTGTTAAGGAAGAAATGTCATAACACATTATCTACAGTCTGAATTCAGTCTTGAAAAATGAAGTTTAAATATGTAAACAGGATGTTCTGGTACAGTGAGAAAAGATTATTTACATACCACATACCTAAAATAAAATGCATTCAGTTTTATCTGCAAGACTAATATTTGTATAGATCTAAACTGGATATTATTTTCATACTTACATGTATCTCATCCATGATTGCAGCAAATCTTGGACATTTGGCTTGCCAAGAGTTAATGATCGTCATTGCATTGTCAAAGTTTCTCACATATTCAGTATACATCTTCAAGAATGGAGCAAAACTCTTCATTATATCACCTGCAAGCAGAAAAGGATTAAGTAGTGCACAAAACCTATAATATACATACATTGATATGGGTTGAGTACTTCTGTTTATAAATCAAAGTAAAAAGATTTCTAATCAGTCATTTCTCACTCTGACAAAATCTGCACTTCTATTTATAAAATTTATGACAACTATATATTCCCCTCATTTTTAATAAATTTTGCTCACCAATTCTCCTGTTCTGCTCCCACTGAGCCATGCGCTCCTCAAGCTGAGGGAGAAGGAAGTCATGGTGGAGTTTGTAGATGGACTTGACATTAGAAAACATCTGGGGGATGATGTCAGCTGGGAAGAGGTGGTGTGCTCGGTTCTCTTGGTCGACCCGGAACTGGAACTCCTAGTGATTTAAAGGCACATGTAAGGTCATCTGTGGTAGATCTTAAAATGATCTTTCATGTATCTCTTCAGTCATTTCATCACAAGATTGGAGACTGTTGAAAAATAATAGCTATATTGTAATACCAAATATGCTAATTTGGATAAAAAACAATACATAAATACCAAAAGCTCAAGTTTTATATTTCCTTCTCCCATACTACTGTCAAAACTTCCCATTGCAAAACTTTCTTGAACTGCTATAAGAGTGACTTTAAAAGCATTATTTTCTTTGAATAACACAATGTTCATGTTTTCTAAATGTGAGCGGCCATCCTCACTAGAACAGGGCATCTGGCACGCACCTGATCAATGAGGTGGAGGACCTTCACATACGTCCTCTCGGTGTTGAGGAGTTCGTGGGCGATCCTGTAGGCCTTGTCCTTGCGCGCGTCGACAGTGTGGTCGAGCTCGTGCACGCTTGTGGTGTCCTGAGCCAAGAGGGAAGACCGTGGGGAGGAAAGGTCGTGGCACGACTCTAGGTCACTGCTCCTGACGGAACTGTGGTCGTCGATCTCGGAGGGCTCGGTGCTGACCGCCTGCGGGAAGCGGTACATGTCGTCAGTGAGGGGAGACGGGCTATTATTCCTCTTGTCATGTAGAGCCATGGATTTATTTTAGTGAACACTGTTTGAGTCTTTTCTTATCAAGACTACCTTGATTAACTAAAAGGATATTTTACATAAAGGGAAACTTTAATTTGATGAATCACTTTACAAACCATGTTAAATAAGATATTAAAAATCCCTTTTGTACCTACTCAAAATTAGAGCAACTAGAGCCATGTACAGCGAGTTCCCCACCTGAGAGTTCCTCTTCGATTCGGTGTCCATGTCGGAGAGGGGCGAGTGCGGGCGGGACTGCGAACGCGCCTGAGCCTTGCCGGCGGAGGGCGAAGGCGGCCGCGACCCCGATCTCGAAGACGACGACCTTTGGGCGTGGGCGGAGGTCTGAGCTTGGTGGGTGTTCGTGCTACCCTCTGCCACGCCCCCCACGCCGCCCGTGGGAGTGACGAACTCCTCTTCATCCTCGCTCTCGGTCTCACTCACGCCCTCGCCGAAGTCCTCGCTGAAGAACTGCGTCTCCGTGCACACTCTGGGGAGAATTATTGCATTAGGACACTCCCTGGCAGAAAAAATACTCTTGTAACACTCCTGTGGAGAAACGTGCTTGCGCAAGACTATCAAATGAAATCGAAAAAGGTAATTCACCCTGGGGTGACTTTTGAGCATCGAACTACAATGTGTCTTCGTGTTTGAAATCACTTCAAACCGTTTTCCTTCTGTGCATTTTGAACTTTGAATATGCTGCTTTTTCCATTTTTAATACGCATCAACCTAAAACACGGAAGCATCAACTTGTAAACAAAAATCGATCCGACATCAGTTAAATAATTTACTGACAATGCAACGCAATGTCCACATTTTAACACAAGTTAAGCAAAACTACATTTGAAGCATATGTTACAGTTGACATCCCAATGTGTCCCTGTTAAGAAGCCATGCCTCTGTCCTCCTCCCCCCCCCCTTCCCCTTGGCTGGATTCGTAGGGCCTCGAAGTCCAAAGCCCAAAGCAAGCGATTCGCCCAACAATGCAATGGCGGATCCCAGGTTGCAATTATTATGGGACTGCTCAAGGTTAGGCGTTACGAATGAGCGAAACGAAATTATTATTTTCACTTTCCTAAGTGCGATATGTGCATAGGCAAAGAATCATTGTTTATATGATTTTGTACATGGAACTAATGATGAATTATTTATACCTGTTTGTGAATATCCGTCTATAAACTAAAACAGAACGCGAATCTTTTTGATACCTAGAGGAATATGGAGATGAAAGTGACGTCTCTCTCTCTCTCACGCACACAAAATTGATAAAATTCAAGGAAAACGTTTTTTACAATTTTCATTTCTTAGTTCTTTTTATTTTTATAAGTACTTTTATTATTCATTATACTTTTTCTTGAGACCTTCCTTCCTCTGGAATCGGAAGGCAGTATTCACCTTTCATTCTGACAAACCAGTTTCAGACAAACGCAATGGACATTCAGACAAGAATGCGTCGATATGTGAAACAACAAACAAATAGAATATGAATATAGAAATGGATTCTGGAATGATCTGTGTTTACGAAAGTCCTGGTCAGGATTCTTCGCCGCGACCTCGGAAGACCACAACGCCAGAGGCCGTGGCTGCCGAAGGGGCAGAAGGGGGCAAGCAGCAGAGCCAGCGAGGGAAGGGCGTGGCGCAACGGCGAAGGCAAGCGGCCAAAGGTCACTGGTCTGCCTACTTACCCGAGGCCCATGATGATGGTGCGAGGCCTCACGCTCGAGTACCTGTACAGCGAGGCGGGTCGAGAGCGACTCTGGCCCCGCAGCTCGACCTGAGGCTCCCCGTCGTCGTCCTCGTCGTTGGTGTCTTCCTCGCTCCCGTCTTCGCTGAGCGTCTCCTCCGAGTCCTCTCGCTCGGTCTCTCCTGCCTCCGACTCACCTTCCTTGTGGTCTTCGCGGCCCCCGTTGGCGTATCCGGCCCCTTGCCCTTCCCTTGGGCCTCCCCTGGTCTCCAGTTCGTTCTCCTTGCCTCCGTCGCCTTCTCTTTCCTCCCGTGCGTACTCCATCACGACTATTTCGCTGCCTTCTCCGCGCCGTAGCTTCTCGTGGCCGCTCTCTGGAAAGTCCTCCGGGTCCGCAAAGACTTCCTTCTCCATTTCGAGCAAAACTGTGTCCTTACGTGCACCTTCCTCTTCCTGGCAGAAGCTTTCTTTCCTTACTCCGATCCCTTCTTCGTCATCAGACCTGAGGTTCTTGAAACTATCCTTCCTCGTTTTCTCATCTTCGAGGTATTCGCGCTCCAACGCTCGCTCCCGCATGATCCGCTCAATCTCCGACACCCTCTTCCTCACCCATCCTGGCTGGTGGTCCATCGCCTCATCCTCATTCTCCTCTGAACTTCCTCCTCCTCCTCCACCTCTAGAGTCCGCTTCCGCCTCGAACACTTCGCCCCCCTTCTCCTCCTCGCCCCCGCCCTCGCTGTAGAAGACCGGGGCGCCGGGGAGGCTCTTGCTCTTCCTGAGCACGAACCGGTTGAGGAATCGGCCGGCGTTGTCCAGCAGCCCCGCCCCGCCGCTCACGCTGAACTTCCTCACCAGCTGCCGCACGCGCGAGCTCCAGGAGGTGGAAGACGCGGCTGAGGGGGCAGCGGGGGAGGCAGAGGGAGGGGCGACGTACGTGGTGGGGAGGAACAAGGGGGACGTGACGGACACGGGGCTGGGGAGGGCCAAGGGGGAGGAGTCGATGCAAGTGGTGGGAAGAGACAAGGAAGGGAAAAGGTCCGACGAGGAGCTGCCTGAGTCCTCCGGAATGTCGCTGAGGGACGCGAAGAGGTTCCTCATGACAGACATGCCCGTCATAAAGTTCAGTGTCACGTCGCTGAACATCCCTTCCTCGCCGGCCACTGCGGTGCTGCTGCAGCCACCGTTGGCGGGAGGGCGCCCTTCCCGCCCGCCCTGCGTCCCGCCCTCCGGCTCAGTGCCTTCGGTTCCGCCAACCTCTGGCTCCCCGTTTCTTCTGGTTCCTGCGCCTGCCTCTCCTCCCCTGCTTTCACACATTCCGCCACTTCTATCCCCCTCTTCGTCTGCCACGCCACTTGGCCCAAAGGCCTCGTGGGCGTCGCCGTCCTCCGGCGCGTCTTCCTCGCCGCCGCCCTCGCATTCTGGGGCCGCAGCCGCTTCGTCAGGGCACGCGCCTCCCCCCTCTTTGCTCAAGAAGCTCGAGCTCTCCACTCCCTCTTCCTTTTCTCTGCTCTCCTTTTCCTCCCCTTCAGTCATCTTTGCTTTCCGGATATCTTATAACTTATATTGTCATGGAGGCGACTCGTCCAGCCGCGTTCAGTCACTCATGCATTTACTGGAGCTGCTAACTCACATCACATCCGTGCTTGTTATCACTGAGCGTTGAAGACGAGTGGGATGAAAGCAATGTCCTCTCCACTCCCATTTGCTAGACCTTTTCTCTGGTTGTTTCCATATCACAATTAAAGAAAATATTGCATAAAAACTTGTTCCAACATGTAGTTTAACATCAGTAAATAACTAAGATAACAGGAGCCTGATACGCACAAACGAATAATCATCAGAGGCAATTGTCCAACTTATGACTAAACAAACACTATAATATCCTAAATGCCAAGCAAACATTGAGGTTTTCAAAATAACAAACCGAGGGGAAGTTGCGGCCGACTCTTTATCTCAAGTTACTGTGACTTAATCCAAAGTTTTGCATTATTCCATTTCCTTTTACTGTATCCGTCTGCTATCATCCCTCTCTCTTCCGCTCTCCCATAGTTTCTCTTTAACACATGAAGAGCACTCAGAAAAAAGGGAGTGTACGTGAGAGTAAAAACGCACATATTCACGAACATACTCTCTTCTCCCCTCCCTCCTTCTCTCTCTCTCTCACTTGCTCTCTCGCCTCCCTTTAACTTGATCTCTCCCTCCCTTGCACTTACTCTCTTCTCTCCTTTCCTCTCCTACCCTCCCTCCCTCTCTCTCTCTATCTCACGCACACACGTCAATACACGTTAATCACTCACAATCTACCAAATTCATGGATTCTCTATAACGGAATAAATACAGGAAATACAACAGTGACGTCACTGCAACTGACAAATGTTGATTATTGCATTTTGGCCATTCTAGATGAGGCGAGGTCATTATAAGCCAAGATTGACTCTCGAATACAAAAAGAGGGGTTTAAATGAGAGATAACCTGATATGTTTCATGGAATCACTTATCTGTGTGTTGAATTTGGGTATACATCTGCAGTGGTATATGCGGCCTACTTTTATTAAAAAAAAAAAAAAAAAAAAAAAAACGTTAGTACACACATACGTACATACGCACACACACGTTTATACAGCTACAACCGCACGAAAGACATCATTTTAAAACAGGTAACACCACCACTCAGATCACATCACAACTGGACTTCTTTTTCCTCTATCTTGGCATCAATATCAATCACGATACACACTTAAGCAACGGACACGCGACCCGAGACTTGCACCAGAGCACAAGAATGTATATTAGGCGAAAAACCTTAACTACACACACACGCTCATAGCGACAACCGATAAAACATCACAAACAGGCAACAAACACCACTCAAATTACATCACCTTTATTTTTCCTCTTATTATTTTTTATCTTTTTACATCAATATCACTCGCGATGCACAGCTCTGTTAGGCAACGGACACGCGCCCGGGACTTGCAGCAAAACACTAACACAAGAATGTATGTGTTTCTGTTGACGAAACGCCTCCGGTTTATCACTACCCCCGGTCCCCTGCCTACCCCCTCCCCGTGTCACATCCTTCCAGATCCCCCTCCCCCCATTTTACTTATCTTGCAGCAGGATGCCGCGTATCAGCGGGAATTCCGACTTTTTAACTGTGATTTTTCAATTGGGGAAATCATTAGCGGAAGAAAAATGATTGAGAAAAACAACAAAACGAACAGATTAAAAGCGAAATTAGACATTATTTTGCAGAAAATATAAAATATAGCAATAAATAAACAATCCATACATATCTATAATAAAATAAAAAAAAATAATAATAAATAAAAAATAAAAAATAAAACGCTGAAACGGAACGTAGGTGAAAACTGCGCAAAACTAAACTAAGAATAAAACGGCGGCAGTTAGGAAAAATCATTTCAATGGCCGATAAAAAAAATGCAGAAACTGAATGACTACAGGAACGAAAATGGCAATCAATATAACAAACATGTACAGCACACACACACACACACATAAATACACACAAAAAAAGAAAAGAAAAAGAAAATCATCAAATTAGATTTTCAAAACGACTGAAATAAAAGTTTGTGCTTATCTAGGCCTTGGCAATAATGACCATCCAATTACAGGCCAAATGCAAATCTGCTGATTTTTGAGACCAATAATTCTAGATCTAATTATTCCGATTCGATGGCTATCACACCAGATTTTCAATATGGCTGCTTTTGCCGATTTTTTTTTTTTTTTAATGATTGTCCTAATTTTGGTTCCCAGACAAAAATCCCAGAGTTAAGACATAAGGAATACATTCGTACACACACACACACACACACACATTTGCAGTGAGCAACATTAAATGCAGAATGTGCGGTAAAAACTGAAGTCGAGGTGAACGTTGTCCTTATCTCCTTCCTGTTACACTGCCATGAACATATTTCATAAAAGTTTCCACTGTATCTATGTTCTTCCTGAATCACATTACATACGAAATTCCTGTTAACGGAAAATTATTCAAGCATTTTCATTATATGAAATTAAGTAATCGAAAACTGTTGATGCAACAAACACTCAATGTCTTTTGAATTATTAGTTTTTGTATGTAATTTAAAAATATATATATTTCTAATACTGAATGTTCTCTCTCTCTCTCTCTCTCTCTCTCTCTCTCTCTCTCTCTCTCTCTCTCTCTTTTCATCTGACTCTCGAATTATGCATAAATAGTTCAGATTAAAACGTATTATTTGGAAAAATAAAATCTTGTCACTTTTGACAACCCTTCTCTTAATATTTGGCCTTTTACATCCACAAACAGTGATCTAAAATCCCCTTGAATTTCGAGAAACAAAAACATACTTTCATTGCACTTTTTCAGGACAGAAAGCATTTTGTGCACACAATACTCAGAGGGGGATGGTGGTTCATTTTCGTTCCCTACAGAAATTCCCACTTTTTTTCCTCGGGATATCCTGCCACTCCCCCCCCCCCAGAAAATTTACTACCTCACCCACAAGGTTAAAGGTTAAATTTGATTCTGAATTTACGGGCAGCACCCCCCCCCACACACACACATCCCACTAACATACTTTCCTCCATATACAAAAATCAGACGTACAGAACACATTAATATTATCATCATTACTATTATCATTATTGTTATTACCATTATCATTATAATCATCATTAATGTTTTTTGTCATTATCATTATTATAATGATGAGGATAGCTATGTTAATAATAGTAATGATGATGATAGTCATGGTACTGATTATAGTAAATCGATAACGATAATAGTAACAATGCTGACGATAACGACGGCGATGATAATAGTAACGACAAAGATGATAATTATGACAATAATAATAATTATGATACTACCAATAATACTGATAATACAAATATATCTACAACAATGATCAGTATCTTCATTATCATGACCAATACTATCAATAAAGTTACTACAATTGTCGCTATCACCATCATAGGATGATGTAAAATAACTGACTGTGATAATCATTACGAAGCGAAAAACGACTTTGATATTTATCTATATTCTTCTTCATCGCAGTAACGGTATTCACAATAACCATCAAGATATCGGCAATGCCCCCAAATGGGAAATATAAACAACAAACAAAACTGGAATCGGAAACGTGACGCAAACGTTTCCCAAATGTCAAGAATCCAAAGAGGAAACGTTGAACTGTCCAGCGGGTTGAACGACTCATCTACTTCCGTTGTCACCTCCCCCCCCCTCCTCCTTGCCTTTCGCTCCGCCTATTTTCCTTCCTATCCCTCTTTCTTATCCTCATAACACCCTCTTACGTTCCCTTTCTGTCTCAGAGACCCTTTACCTCCTGAAGTGCGTGAGCGCGAGGAAAGTCGTGTGGAGGGCTAGGTGCTGGTGGCTGGAAGGTATGGCATCAGAACTCGCGCCGGGGGTGTACACGCGCCGGAACAGCCTGTGGGGCACTGCACACTCCGTCGTGGTGGCGTACACTCTCCGGAACAGCCGCTGGTGCATGGCCATCTCCCTTGCTAGGAAAGGCCAGGCACGCCCTCAAACACCTCAGCAAAGATGCCGAGTCTCTCAGCACCTTTGTTTACACCCGCACAGCTTGCTTCCACCACAAAGACCACCCAACTAATGATGCATGGTCCCCCCCCCCTCTTAACACCCAACGCTCCAGGAGACACGAACCGGAGGTCAAAATGAGCCAACGAGCGTCATCCCCCGCCAACGACCGAACGACCGCGCGGCCATCGTTGGGGCGACCTCTGCACGGGAGAGAAAGCGATCACACCCATAAGGCTATATCAAAAAGAGAGACGACCCTTCTCTGCCCTTGTCTTCCTTAGGTGCCCAACAGATGCTCGCTCGCTCGCTCTCTCTCTCTCTCTCTCTCTCTTTCCATCTCTCTCTCTCTCTCTCTCTCTCTCTCTCTTCTCGTCCTCTCTCCTCTCTCTCTCTCTCTCCTCTCTCTCTCTCTCTCTCTCTCTCTCTCTCCTCTCCTCTCCTCTCTCTCCTTCCTCTCCTCTCCTCTTCCTCTCCTCTCCTCTCCCTCCTCTCCTCCTCTCTCTCCTCTCCTCTCTCTCTCTCCTCTCCTCTCCTCTCCTCTCCTCTCTCTCTCCTCTCAGGAATATATTGGCGATTTCTAGTAGACAAAGTCTCTTATCCTCTCTCTCTCTCTTCTCTCTCTCTCTCCTCTCTCTTCTCCTCTCTCTCTCTCTCTCTCTCTCTCTCTCTCTCTCTCTCTCTCTCTCTCTCTCTCTCTCTCTTTCACTAACGAACGTGTTAATCGTGATCCCACAATCGTTTCAGTTATATTTTGTGCGCCGAAAGCAAAGGGTTTATATTACGGCGGAAGTTTTACAATTATTCTGAAATCACTTGGGTCTTCGCTTTTTCTCTCTCCATCCTTCATCGTTATAATTAAAACAGTACGCCTTTAGAAGCTAACAAGAATAGTAAGAAATAATATCAGACTAATGATAAAACCGAAAACAATTACAAAAATAATGATTATGATGATAAAAACAATGCTACTACTCACTCCTAAAACTATTAATAACACTAACAATAATAAAAATAACGATGATGATTATGATTGCAATGACATCAACGGTAATAATAACAGAAAAAAAATAAAAAGTAAATAACTAGGATGATGATTGTGATGATAATGATGATGATGGACTCTTACTCTTATAATACTATATAATATAATAATATAATAATAATAATAATAATAATAATAATAATAATAATAATAATAATAATAATAATAATAATGATAATAATAACAACAACAACAACAATAAGAATAACAATAATGATAATCAAAATAACAATAATGATAATCATAATAACAATAATAATAACGGCAATAATGATAATAATAATAGTAACAATAATGCCAAAATTACGAATATGCAAATAACAATAATAATAAAATAATTGATTTGCAATAATATAAACAAAATAATAACAACAACAACAACAATCATACATAAGATTAATAACCATGATTACAATGATGATAATGAAGATGATGATAATGATTAAGATGAAACTAGGAATAAACGCAAAAACAGTTGCTCATGGCCACCACTGTCCCCTACACTGCAGTTACAGTGGCCTCCGTTTCTTCAATCCTAGAGACAGAATCATAATACTTAAGCGTGTCGTCTATCATGGAATCTCACCTTATTCTCACGATTTAACCATTTTGGTGTTCCTTTCTCTTCCCCAACTCTTTCTTGCTCCGCATTTCTCTTCTATATATTCTCTATTGTATCCTATTCTACTCTTTTGTTTTCCTCTCGCCTTTCACGTTTTCTGTTAATCCATCTATTCCCCTCACTACAGAAAACGGAGAATGTTGGGGAGACTTCATTATTCAGGCCGTCGTGTTTTCTATGTAAACAAAGTCGGTTGGAGGGTAACTTGATGACCTATGCCAGTGCTTTCTTTGTTGTTTCAAAGCACAGGGAGAAGAGGGAGAAAGAAATAGGCTAATTTGGGAGGCAGGCAGGGAGGGTGAGAGCGAGGGAGAGAGGGAGAGAGGGGGGAGTGGGATAGGGTGAGGGGGAGGGAGGGGGGAAGAGGGGGAGAGGGGAAGGAGTGAGGGAGGGAGTGATGTAGGGAGAGAGAGACGGGGGAGAGAGGGGGAGAGGGAGGAGATTAGATAGATAAATAGATAAATGATGGGGGAGGGAAGAGAGAGAAAAGAAAGAAAAGAGAGAAAGAGAGAAAAGTAGCGAAAAACAAGAAGGAGAGAGGAGAGGGGAAACAGGAGAGCTATAAAAGAAGCGAGAAATGAACGAAGCGAGAGATGAGACATGAGAGACAGAGAGACTGAGATAGATATATGGATAGAGAGAGAGAGAGAGAGAGACGAGAGAGAGAGAGAGAGAGAGAGGAGAAAGAGGAGAGAGAGAGAGAGAGAGTAGAGGAGAGAGAGAGAGGACGAGTAGAAGAAGAGAGAAAGTAAATAATATGGAAAAGAGAATGAGAAA